TAGATAGTGTTGAATATCTGCAATATTTTACATAACCATACGAACATCATTAAATTTCCTCAAGTTTGTCTCATGTCTCAATTTTCGGTTTGAATAACAATCAGGCTCTGTGAAAAAGTAATGACCATGAAGGGAAAACTAGAAGCTTTTTGATTTGTTCCGTTTGCATGCAATGACAAAAATTCAAAACTTTGTTCCATAGAATTAGGGTTTATTTCTCTCATGCAAATCTTCTATTCATCCATTCTTATTACAGACAAATACTTTTTTCGTAAATGTTATCACACTGACACATACAATGGATTACCTCAGTTTGCGTTGACATTTCTGGGTAAAATGTCCGGAATGTATGTTGGTTTCTATGTAGATAAATGTGTTGGCTACCATAAATACATACATGCATATCTGAATTAATGTTATAAATGTACACTTTGTAGAATATTATTCAAGCATTGGGTTTTAAGGTCAAAGAAATATTTTAAAAAGGAAAGACAAGGCATATGTATTTTGAGTTTAGATTTTAGTTAAAAATTTAAGGAAATTGAAAGTAATAAATAATTTAGTTTGATTTACTAGAAATAGACTGGATTACATTTTTAAAGCAAACATAATAGCATGATTTTAGGTCTAATACATAAAATGGGCTGGATTATTAAAAATACACATAATCATTCGATTTTCTGTTATTGAAATTTTAAGGGGACCCCCCCCCATTCTCGGGGTTAAAACTTTTTTGGATTTAATTCGATTCTACACTAATTCAAGAATGTCTCTACAAAATTTCAAGTGAAAATCTCAAGAACTCTTGAAGATATGGCCGATTTATTGTGTCAGCATCAAGTGACGGCTAAAGGGCTTCTCAAACATTAAACGCGATTTTCTCTTTTGCGAATGGCGGGCACGATAACTCAAAAACTAATAACCCAATCGATTCCAAATTTTTACATGTTTCTCTGTGAGTGTATATCTATCTTATGAACTAGGATAAAGCCAATCGGTGAAGTTCTTCCTTATTTTTTAACTTGGTTTTTGGTCAAAATTCGGCGATTTTTCAAAAATATTTTTTCAAAGGTCCGCCATCTTGTTAATTTTACAGCGAAGTCAGCAATCCTAGTTCATACGAGAGCCAGACATGTACTCTTTTTAACACCGTTGGAATTTTCGGATTCCGAAGTTCCAGTGAGGAGTTATCATGCCCGCCATGAAAAATAAGGACTTTTCTTTAATTGCAAAAAACAACAACAAAGCAATAACAAACATTTTTTGTAAATTAGTTTTCTTCTTTTTTAAATCTTCAAATATATATGTGCAAAGTTACAAACCTTAACAAGCATTGGTATTCATTTACCAGCCCATTGAAAATCTTGAAAAATTAAAATCGAGAATGGGTGGGGTTCCCTTAAGCAACATTTTCCATGGATTTTGGTAGTTCGATTGCTAAACATTTGCTACATGTATTTATATATACAACATACTTTTGTAAGGTATGATTATATTCATACTCCGATTTATATTTAATTTACTAAAAACAAAACGAGATAGACACATGATTCCTTTTGAGAATATACTTAGAATCACTTTCTAAGTCGATTTATGAATGTCCGTCCGTCCGCCAGTCTGTCCATGTTAAATTTTAAACAAAGTCCAAGGACCCCTATTGAAATTGGGAAAAATCGGTCCCTATATATCTTTCGATTTGCACGAAATTAGGCACAGCCTAATGATTTAGGTCGAGAATTATGTGTGTTAAGTTTCCTGAAAATCGGTTCAGACTTAAATATAGCTCCCATATATATTTTCGTCCGATTTAATGTAAATGGTGTACCAAAGTCCCTATATATCCATCGATTTGCACGAAATTTGGCATAGCATACTGAATAAAGTCTAGAATGATGTGTGTTAACTTTCCTTAAAATAGGTTCAGATTTAGATATAGCTCCCATATATATTTTCGTCCGATTTAATGTAAATGGTGCACCAAAGTCCCTACATATCTTTCGATTTGCACGAAAGTTGGCACAGTGTACTGAATTAAGTCCAAAACGATGTGTGTTAAATTTCTTGGAGATCGGTTCAGATTAAGATATAACTCCCGTATATATTTTCGTCCGATGTAATGTAATGGTGCGCCAAAGTATCTATATATTTTTCGATTTGCATTAAATTTGGTATAGCGTATTTAATTAATAGGAGAATGATGTGTGCTGAGTTTCGTGAAAATCGGTACAGATTTACATATAGCTCTAATGTATAGTTTCGTCCTATTTTATGTAAATGGTGCACCAAAGTCAATATATATTCTTCGATTTGCACGAAGTTTGGCATAGCGTACTGAATTAAGTCTAGAATAATATGTAGTAAGTTTCAGAAAAATCGGTCCATATTTCGACATATACATATATATTCGTCTGATTTTACATAAATGGTGCACAAAACACTTAATGTTTTTCTCATTAACACGAAATTTTGGACAGCGTATCAAATTAAGACTTAAATAGCGTTATTGCGTTTTGTTGAAATTGGTGCAGATGCAGCCATAGCTTCCATATGTACTTCGAACGGGTGTCTGATTGAAATTAAATTTTTAACAGTGCGGGGTAGCGACGCTATCAATTTTGCTATAAATCGTTTTCTATAAATTTTACCCATGGTACGCAGGCGACTCTAAAACTGCCCGGATGAAATTAAATTTAACATGGGTTGCAGAAAGACATGAGAAGGATACATATGTACCATATATATCCAAAGTAGTGAAGGGTATCATATAGTCGGCCAAGTCCCACTTTACTACTTTCCGTACTGGTGTTTTCGATTAATCTTTTAAAGGTCCCCAAATAGTTTTGTTTTTTCTATTCAGTCTTTTAAAGGTCCTCAGAAAAATATTCTTATTTGAAATATAGACTTAAAAAGGCCCTCCAAAAAAAAAATAATAGGCCCTCTTAAAAAAATAGCAAAAAGTCCTTGACAAAATATCCTGTACAAAACCACGCATGGTAATGGTCTTTGAGAAGATATTCTTTTAAAAATTCACTCCTTGTAAAAGTCTTTATAAAAGTATTCTTAAAAAATCCAGACATTGTAGAAGTGTTTATAAAAATATTTAGAAAAAAATCCACGCATTGTAATGGCCCTTGAAAAAAATATTTTATAAAAAATCCACGCAATGTAATTGTCTTTGAAAAAATATACTTTAAAAAATCATGCATTGTAATGGCCCTTGAAAAAATATTTTATAAAAAATCCACGCAATGTAATTGTCTTTGAAAAAATATACTTTAAAAAATCCATGCATTGTAATGGTCCATGAACAAATATACTTTAAACAAGTGAAAAAGCGTTAAGTTCGGCCGGGCCGAACTTTGGATACCCTCCACCATAGATATACTGACAGGTACTAGAAATGAAAATATAGGGAAAATACAAAAAGTGAACCTATATCGACATTTCTACAAATCGATTATATAAACCATACTGTAAAATATAAATCAAATTTCAGAAAATTTTAATTGTGCTTTTTGGCTAAGGAGGGTGGATACACTTTGACACAGTTAAATGGTTCTAGACTTCATGTTTCTTTGGACCAAATTTGTTTCAGAAAATATTATTTCTTCCAAACTTAGTTCAAGTTCGAAGATTGGGAATATCGGTCCACTTCTTCTGGTACATCCCACACAGGAGCTAGGCCTAAATGCGGGTTATAGTTCATTATCGAACCTTACGTTCTATTTTATTATCTCGATATCCTCCGCAGGAGAAATGATTACAACAGAGCCTTAGAACCAAACCCAAAACGCGGAACAAATCAGATAACTATTTTAATATAAAAAAGGCGGTTATATGGGGACTACACCAAAAGGGAGATTTCTTACCACATACGACTACAAAATACCAAATTGAAGCGAATTTGGTAGAAAAACGCGCTCAAGAACCCCAAAATACTGAAAATTAGGAGGTACCGTTATATGGGGGCTACCAGAAAAAATGGACCTATATTTATAATTTTTTGTGGAGACATTTAGTACCCAATAAGAACTCAATGTACCAAATTTCAGCGTACTCGGTTGAAAAACGAGCTCAAAACCCCCAAAATACCGAAAATTGGGAGGTACTGTTATATGGGAGCTATACATAAACGTGGACCGATATATCCCATCTTCGAACTTGACTGCAGACAAAAGACAACCCTATGCAAAATTTCAGCACCCTATCTCAATTCCTTCAGAAGATAGCGTGATTACAACAGACGGACGGACGGACAGAAAGACGGACATGGCTAGATCGTCTTAGAATTTTACCCTGAACAAGAATATATATATATATATATATAGGGTCGGAAATGAATATTTCGATGAGTTACAAACGGAATGACAAAATTAATATACCCTCCATACTATGGTGGAGGGTATAAAAATCCACTCCTTTTAAAGGTTCATGAAAAAATCCACGCCTTGTAAAAGTCTTTAAAAATATTCTTTAAAGTCCTTGTAAAAATATTATTCATAAATCCGCACATTGTAATGAACCTTGAAAAAATATTCTTTAAAAAACTTCACGGTATTTAATGGTCAGTAAACTATGAACCCAAATAAATGAGCTGTACCAAACTTCATTACATTAATTTCAAACATTTGCAGAAAAACATAATATCAATAGTATGGGGCAGGGTATAATGCCCCCTATACCGAAATATTTCTGATATATTTTTTATATCTTCAACTTCTTTAAATATTGCTGTTGTAAAAAGTGGGTCAAACACCTAGTAGTTATGTTTTTCTATACATAAATATCCCTCACTATCCTTAGCAAACTAAATAAATATGTATTATTTCCCGTTCATCGTCAATCAAAGAACAGCTTCTTTCCAAATAAGAAATAAATAGAAACCAATAAAATGTATCACAGCACTTTATTTAGCCATAGTTTTCCTTCTAATTTTATGGATGATCGATTGGTAATTTTATTTTCACTATTGTTTGATTTTCTATTTTTCTTTTCTTTAGCTTCGACAATGCCGGAAACCCCAATTGAGGAAGTCACAAATGCTTTGTACGGTAAAAGCATTAAATTTGCCATGACACACAATATCGAATTGAAGCTGCCGGAGATGATGTTCGATGGTGCCACATTTCGTATATCGCCCAGGTCAATAGAGGGTAATGGTGTTATAGCCAAGTTGGAGTTAATACCCAAGCAAAAGAGTGAAGCTCGTTTGGCTGGCAAAATCCTGATGAAGAAATTACGTGAGTAGTGAAATGGAAACAATGCTTTTAATTTTCACTTTTATTTTCAATTGTTTTTGTTCTTCTTCGTTTTAGAGAAACTTTTGAAAAGTAAACTGTTACTATCGTTCCTGGCCTTGGTCTTGATTATAAAAATTATCAAAATCAAACTCTTCTGGCTGCTGCCATTGGTCATTGGTGTGGGTGCGGCCAAGAAATTGCTATTGAAATTCCTACTCTTCCTATTTCCAGCCTTGTCGCATCTCTTCAAATTGTGTTCGTATTATCAGCAGACCTATCATTCGACAAAATATCATCATCACCATCATCACATTAATCATCATCATACGGTGAGTAATAAAAAAAATAAAGCAAAACGAAGGAAGAACGTACCAACGAATTGAATTGAATCAAGAAAGGGTATCACAACAAACAAGCAAAAAAATGAAAGTGGGAATATTTGCTTTTTTATTGTGATTACTATGCGAGCACGAGATGCTTAATTGGAATTATGTGTCAGTCAGTTTGTTACTGAGTCAGTCAGGCATTACACAATGGGGATTACTCTCTTTATTAGATGGCAGGGAATTATGTGACAAGAAGAAAAATATAACGTGGAAGATATAGTTTTTTGGTGGGAAGATATAGTTTTTGTGACAATGACACTATTTGTAATGAAAATTTGTAGTGAAAATTGTGAAAGGGAAGTAGTTGGCGGCACGTACACCAATTTTTTCACTATAAATGTCAATTATTTTCTTAACATAGATTTAATAAAGGAATGATATATGATGGGGCATTTGTTAGTGGAGTGCAGTACATGTCTAGGATGGGTTAGAAAGGAGAAATAGTTTTTTTCCTTTCCTGATTTTAGTCGACAAACCATTAAAAATGGTTCACAAGTTTAATTTTATTAACAGCGTTAAAAGTGCTAAAATGGTACATTAGCATTGAGCGGCGTAGAATAAAATTTCTTTGGCCTTAAAAAATCTGAAAAAATTATGTAAAAAATCCACGCCTTGTATAGGTCTTGAAAAAAATTTATTTAAAAAATCCACGCCTTGTATAGGTCTTGGAAAAAATTTATTTAAAAAATCCACGCCTTGTATAGGTTTTAAAAAAACGTATTTAAAATATCCACGCCTTGTATACAGAGATGGCCGGTCAGAAACAGTGACGTAAATGACATACATTTCCGACGTATAATACATACGTCAGAAACGTCGGAAACCTACCCAAATCCATTTGGTTTTTGACAAAATAGCTATTTCCATTAATCAATTTGAAAATTACGCATGCTTTACAGCCTTACCTAAAATTCAACTAGCTCGTTCGACGTTTTTCACCACAAAAGTAGAACACATGTATTTATATGAATGTTACCGAAATACGTCGAACGTACAAAATTTCAAGTTGAACAATTTCAACTTTGACAGAACGTATTTTTCATTTTTTCTTTTGTTGAAAACAAAAGCAAAACATTCTGGAAATTTGAAATTTCGAATAGAAACTAAAAATACGTGGATTAATTTAATAAATTTTCAATTTTGTTTTGCGGTTTGTATTATTTGCTTGAAGATATGAATTCGACGTATTTGGGTAATACGGCCGTACACAACATTTTGCCATAGTGGGGAAGTTGATTATTTTTGTACGCCCCGTCGGATTTTAGGTAACGTTGTTACTCAAATTAATATAACATTTCAAAATTTTCTTCTCAAAAAAATTTCAAAATTTACATTAGTTCTAGTAAGGAATAGTAAGATATATGAAAAATTAATATATATTCTTAAAAATAACTGTATATACTGATAACATTAAAATAAATGACGTTTACTACATTTATTACATTTTATACAGGTATATGACGTTTTCGACGTTTACACCTTTTTGACAGTCGAAAACCTAAAAATTCGCCAAACGGACCATCCCTGCTTGTATAGGAAAAATGTATTTAAAAAATCCACACCTTGTATAGGTCTTAAAAAATGTATTTAAAAAATTCAAACCTTGTATAGGTCTTAAATAAATCTATTTAAAAAATCCACACCTTGTATAGGTCTTCAAAAAATGTATTTAAAAAATCCACGCCTTGTATAGGTCTAAAAAAATGTATTTAAAAAATCACGCTTTGTATAGGCCTAGAAAAAAATGTATTTAAAAAATCACGCTTTGTATAGGTCTTGAAAAAAATGTATTTAAAAAATCCACGCCTTGTATAGGTACAGAAAAAAATGTATTTAAAAAATCCACACCTTGTATAGGTCTTAAAAAAATCTATTTAAAAAAATACACCTTGTATAGGTCTTGAAAAAAATGTATTTAAAAAAAAATCGAATGATATATAGGGACATTGGTGCACCATCTACATAAAATCGGACGAAAATATATATGTAAGCTATATCTAAATCTGAACCGATTTATATAAAATTTTGCACACATCATTCTAGACTCAGTTTAGTACGCTATGTCAAATTTCGTACAAATCGAATGGTATATAGGGACATTGTTGCACCATTTACACAAAATCGGTCGAAAATATATATGGGAGCTATAATTAAATCTGAACCGATTTACACGAAACTTAGCACTCATAATTCTTGACTTAATTCAGTACGCTATGGCCAATTTCGTGCAAATCGAAAGATATATTGGGACTTAGGTACACCATTTACTTTAAATCAGACGAAAATATATATGGGAGCTATATCTAAATCTGAACCGATTTTCATGAAACTTAACACACATCATTCTAGACTCAATTCAATACGCTGTGCCAAATTTCGTGCAAATCGAAAGATATATAGGGACACTGGTGCACCATTTACATAAAATCGGACGAAAATATATATGAAAGCTATATCTAAATCTGAACCGATTTTTATGAAATTTCTATCATTCTAGACTCATATCATTCTAGACTCAATTCAGTACGCTGTGCCAAATTTCGTGCAAATCGAAGGATATATAGGTTCTTTGGTGCACCATTTACATAAAATCGGACGAAAATATATACGGGCGCTATATCTAAATCTGAACCGATTTCAAAAAAACATCAATCGAGACTTAATTCAGTACCCTGTGCAACAGGGTTTACATACAATCGGACGAAACTATATATCGGCGCTATATTTAAATCAGAACCGATTTCAACAAAAGTTGACATGTATCAATCTGGACCTAATTCAGTACTCTGTGCAAAATTTTGTCTCAATCGGAAAAATATTGGGAGTTTGGTGCACCATTTATCTAAAATCGGACGAAACTATATATGGGAGCTATATCTAAATCTGAACCTATTTCTACAAAACTTCACACACATAAAACTGGATATATTCTAGTACGTTGTGCAAAATGTTGTCTCAATCGGACAAATATTGCAAGTTTGGTGCACCATTTACATAAAATCGGACAAATATATATGTGGGAGCTATATCTAAATCTGAACCGATTTTTTCCAATTTCAATAGGGTTCGTCTTTGGACCAACTAAATGAGCTGTTCGAAATTTCATCCAATTCGAATCAAAACTGCGACCTGTACTTTGTTTACAATTTAACATGCACAGACGGACAGACGACATGCATGAATCGACTTAAAATGTGATTCTCAAAAGGAAACATGTGTCTATCTCGTTTCCTTTTGCCTGTTACAAACAGATGCACAAAGACATAATACCCTGTACCACAGTGCGGTGAAGGGTATACAAATCCATGCGTTGTATAGGTCTTAAAAAATTATTTAAAAAATCTACGCCTCGTATAGGTCTTGAATAAAAAATATTAAAAAAAAAATATTGGGTCTTGCAAAAAATTATTTAAAAAAAATATATAGGTCTTTATTTGCAAAATTTCAACCCACTGTGCCGATTAAAATCATCCCAAAGAAAGTTAAGATTTATTGGCGTTGTCTTTAACACTCTGATCCAAATGAAAGTGAAATGATTTCAGCAACAGCAATAACAATAACTACAACAACAAAACAATCTCTAGCTGCTATTGTTAACTGATGAAACATGGCTTAAATGGGTATTCTATTAGCATTTTATACTCGACGAACGAACGAACGATATTTTGCGATGATGAAATGCAAACCCCAACAACGGCTGAGCGTGGTAGAGTGTGTGTGACGTTGTTGTATTTTATGGCATTTACATCCGATTATTCTTTCATTAGCTCATCGTATTCGCGCCGGGTACTATTCCATTCATATGGTAATGATGAAGATGCTGCACATACCACCTATATATGAGAATGTATTACGTTGGAATGAATGAACGAACAAGTCTGTGTGGGCTATAAATGTTGTTGATGTATTTGTTTTTGTTAAATCGTTTTGATGACGATGATGAGGCTAATGCTGCTGGTACTTTGCCCATGTTAATGTATATTTTATTGCCTTAGGCTAATACGCATAAACAAATACATGCATACAAATAGATAACATTGATTGTGTAATATTTCTTCATTTCATTTCATTTCCTGTCTTTCTTTCTATCTGTCTTTCTTTGTCATTGTCGTTATTTTCTTAAGCCCTATTGTGGTATAAAAATTGAGAGCATGCTAAAAATAAGAAAAAAATTGTTTATGTGGTGAATAAATATGTTGTGAATTTAATATGATGACTAATGGGGAATGGTATGATTTTATATACTTATTTAAAAGGAGAAATGTCAAGTGGATTAAGGTATTGACTTACTTGAAAACAGGTTAACTGAAAAGTTTCAGGCCCGACATATGGGTGGGGCTCCTAGGATTAAATCATTAGTCCAAACCTTTATATAAAATAGGATTCTCGAACATTTCTGAATCGACTCAAAATTGTCTGAACCTGCTTTGGTCCAAAGACATTGCGTTCTACAATCGACATTTCTATGAATAAAATTTTTAATATGATGATAATCGAATACACGAACCTCGTAAAAATGTAATAATTGTGGCACTTTTTAAACAATTCTTATATAGTTCCAATCTTCCTCTGCACTTGCTTTAATTTTTTATTTATATTTTCAGATTGTCCCTCCATGGCATAGTGGTGAAAGTGCACCATGGCAGAGTGCAGAAACCGCTCACATTCCGGAAATTATTTATTCACATCCGCCGAAAGGACACGTATCGACATATTTACATGGAGCACCCATACATGAACACTATGGACCACCGGGACATTCACATGAACATTATGATGGTTGGGAAAATTCCGGGCCTGGGTTAGGTTCAGAGTAAGTAAAATCAACTTCTTAACCCCCTATGCAAAATTACATTTGCATACAATTTGTGACTAACCTGCTTTTAACATACATACATACATTATTCATATTCTTACAATTTATTTCTATTCATATACATTAACACAGATATATAAGTGATATAAATCGTGTTGCACAAATCGATGAAAAGACTAATTATTTTAAACCGCACCCAAATAATGATGCCAATGAATTACACGCCTGGGGTCTGGGCACTACGCCTCTCACCACATTACAAAATAAACAGCGTCCACATACGGGACCATCACAACTACTGCAACAACAACAACAACATCAACTGCAATATAAACGAGTTTCGACTCCATTACAGAAACCCAGTATTATCAATCAGACACCACAACATTATCAAAAACCTCAAGCCACTAGTCAGACATTTAATCCATTCAAGCAACAGGGTGATAAACAAAGGTATCTCTCGCTCAAAACGAAAATAAAAAACACACACGAACACAAACACTAAAACACCCTGAACACAAATTCCAATTCGAAACTCCCTACTTTCCTTAATTTATTGAACACAATTTAATGAAACGAAAAAATTAATTAACAACATGTATTTTCTTAAATTATTTTAACAATTATTGATAATGTAAATTATTTTTACAGCATTTTCAATCACAAATATCGAAACAATCCTGCCGCTGCTCAATCAGCACCAAGCCCTGTCTACACACCCTTACGGCAACCGGGATTGCCACAGTTGCAGAAACCGATAAAACCACAAATTCAAGATACAATATCAGCGGCAGCTCAAATTGCTGCACAATATGATCCGAGTCGAAAACAAGCACATCAACAACAGCCATTAGCAAATGCACAGCAGGATCCACAATTAACGGTATGTAATTTTTATTGAGATACCACAAATATATCCACCAAACAACTAACAAATTAAATGGGTAATATTGCAAATCGATTTAAAGTATCGTATGGTAGGGAAGGTAAAAGGAGAAAGTATTTAAACAAATGTATATTAAAATGTTCCGAAATATCAAACATATTTTCAAAATATATTCGGAACTATAAAATTTATAGGAAATATCCAAATAATAAGCTATTTCAAATCTATAATAATATGTATGAGTTTTTATTTATGATTAGATAACGCCTTAAATCTTAAGGTGATTAGGAACAAATAAACCTCACGCAGAATTTTTTTTTTAGCTGAGGTTGAAAAAAACTTTATTTAGTCTAGCCTCTCAGTTTTAATTTTTCTAAATATGGATTATCATTTAACTTGGGACGTGAAATTTTAGGGCTTACCTTTGGATGCAGGGTAAATTTTACCTTTACGCATTTTCTGAAATCTATACTAAAACCAGTAAGGAAAGTAGTAAAGTCGGACGGGGCCGACTATATGATACCCTTCACCACTATGGGTATATTAAACAGGAATATAATCATGAAATTGTATGAAATAAAATATGTGATATTTATCTACATGTGAAACGACCTAGATCTATCTATAAACATGTCATTCGTTTGTTACAATGAACCAAAAGTATGTAAATCGACTTCAAACAAATATCAAACGGTCATCCGTTGGGCTAGGTCTGCACTTCTAGAAAACCCAACTACGTTATTCTATACTCAATTCTGTACGTTGTGCAAAATTTGAAGTCAATCTAACAAATATGAGGAGTTTGATGCACAATTTACATATATATGGATGCTATGTCCAAATATGCACCGATTTCAACGAAACTTGTCAAAGGTTAGGTTATACTAATTTCATACGTTTTTCTCCTATCAGCCATATATTGGTTCCTTGGTGCGTCAATTACTTAAAATCAATCTATAATATAAGGGAGCTATATCTAAATCTGGACCGATTTTCACGAAACATACCAGACATCATTTTAGGCTCAATTCAGTACGTTATGCCAAATTTCGTGCAAATCGAAAAATATAAAGGGACTTTGGTGCACCATTTACATGAAATCGGACGAAACTATATATGGAAGCTATATATAAATCTATACCGATTTTCTCGAACCTTAGCAGACATCACTCTAGGCTCAATTCAGTACGTTATGTCAAATTTCGTGCAAATCGAAAGATATATAGGGACTTTGGTGCACCATTTACATGAAATCGGACGAAACTATATATGGGAGCTATATCTTAATCTGGACCGATTTACACGAAACATACCGGACATCATTTTAGGCTCAATTCAGTACGTTATGCCAAATTTCGTGTAAATCGAAAGATATATAGGGACTTTGGTTGCACAATTTACATGAAATCGGACGAAACTATATATGGGAGCTATAACTAAATCTGGACCGATTTTCACAAAACATACCAGACATCACTCTAGGCTCAATTCAGTACGTTATGCCAAATTTCGTGCAAATTGAAAGATATATAGGGACTTTGGTGCACAATTTAAATGAAATCGGACGAAACTATATATGGGAGCTATATCTAAATCTGGACCGATTTTCTCGAAACTTGGCACACATCATTCTAGGCTCAATTCAGTACATTATGCCATATTTCGTGCAAATCGAAAGATATATAGGGACTTTTGTACACCTTTTACATTAAATCGGACGAAACTATATATGGGAGCTATATCTAAATCTGAACCGATTTTTTCCAATTACAATAGGGTTCGTCCTTGGGCCAAACAAATGAGCTGTGCCAACTTTCATCCAATTCGGATCATAAATGCGACCTGTACTTTGCTCACTCGTTTCCTTTTGCCTGTTACAAACATATGCACAAAGACATAATACCCGGTACCACAGTGTGGTGAAGGGTATAAAAAGAGTAAAGTGATTGACTGACTGACTGAATTAAGGATTCATCAATGCCTAGACGAAACGGCTGAAGCTAGAATCTTGAAATTTGGTGTGGGGGTCCATAGTGGGTCCGATAAGGCTGGGTTTTTGAAAATTCGTACTAGTACGGCACGGCACTAGCTAGAACTCTGAAATTTGGATTGAGGGTCATTGTTGGAGTGTAGAATATATCTAGCAAAGGATTTTTTGGACATTCGAACTATTAGTATCCGAAAAGTACTAAATTTGGTACAATGTCGTATCATGTGAATGGATAGTAGGAGAAGTAGGATCGATATAAGGAGGTGGTTTTGATGGTTTGTGGGTTTGTACTAAATTTGGTACAATTTGAATTTAGAGAAACCGATGAAGCTGGAAACCTAAAATGTGAAATTAATATTACAGTCGGAGTGTAGGATGCGATATGTAGGTAGTTTGGACATATGTACTTTATGCAAAAAAGTACTTTTCTACTATACTAAATTTGGATTTTATGTGAACCTGGAATTTGAAGTGAGGGTGACTGTTAAGGTGTTGTGTTGGGGTATTTGGCAGGTTTTGGAAATTTTTACTAAATAGTACCAAATGTGTATTTGGATGAACCGATAGAGCTAGAACACTGAAATTTGGAAATAATGTTACTGTTAGAGTGTAGGATTGGTGTATGGATGTAGTTTGGGAAATTCATACTTATGGGTACTAATTGGTAATAACTTTGGTACAATTTGAATTTTGGGAGAACCGATAGTGCTGAGATCCTGAAATTGGGGTGTACGATTGGGATATATAGGAAGTTTTAGAAATTTGTACTAATATATAATAAATAGTACCAAATATGTATTTAGGTGAACCGATAGAGCATAGCATTTAAAGAAGGCAGATATATTATTACCTTATATTTGAAATAATAAAAATCGTTGTCTAAAAATCATACCTGCTATACCCTCCGCCCCCAACTTTGCTGCATTTTCAGCATTCTGAAAAGAAACAGAAAAGACAAATAGTTTATTTAGACTACTTGTTTTGATACCGTAATGTTATAAAGATTCAAATGTAGAATAATAATGCAATTTATAATATGCGAAGCAAATATTTAGTATTACATTTCGTTATGTTGAAGAAAATGTTGTGCCCTCACCAAATACCACCACGAAACAAACGGTCATTACAGATCTATTTTTGGGTACATTCCCCAATTAGTCTACGGTCTTTCTATGTCGTAAAATATTTGTTTACATAATGATGAGGTACATACCTCATGATTCCAAGCAACACCATTAAATACAATTAAGTTCACCTTATCTCCAAAATATCTTAAGAATATACTGTTTAGTTCTTTAGAATAAGAGCCGTTGAAGAAGACTCTTT